CGAATCATGTTTAGAGACAAGTTGAAAAAGAACCCAAGTTTCAAAGGTTTTACCATCAGATTTAGGAACGGAATTGAAAGAACGGATGAGAGAAGATACATCCAGATCGGAAGGAGCCGAAGGATTACAATAAAGAATAAATTCTAGATAACGATCAGCAATATTTGCACGAGTTACGTCTTTTTGAGGTAAACCACGACGAGGAAAATTATTTGATAAGGAAGAGGAACCGGAAGCCGATATTATGGGTTGTAACGAACGATTAGAAGTAGCGGATGAAGCAGAAGCAGTAGGATTTGAGGCATTTGGAGATGAGCCCGGAATAGAATCCTTTTTGTCAACCGATAAATCGGGTAAATTCGAGGGATTTGAAGCGATGATGGACGGTTTAGGCGCACCTCTAGTTTTTCTAGTGGGTCTATTAGAAGATTGTTTTGGAGTTTTTTGGGATTTTTGAGCAACAGGAACAGTAGAGGTTTGAGGATCGTTTGATGAAGCTACAGCGGGTGTGGAAGAAGCGGTAGTGACACGTCCATCAGAGAAAAATGAAGTAGTAACTTGAGATGGGGAAGAAGATGTGCTCGCGCCCACATCGGATTCATTACGAGTGACATCACACGTATCATCTACAATTGTCGTATCATCGATGGTGCTTTCTTTAAGTGCATCAGAAGAATCTTTATTTGAGGAATTAATATTTGTATGATTCTGGTCTGTCGGTGAAGGCATTGTTGTTTAGTGACTAATATAGACAAATAAAAGTCGATGAATAAATGATGTTGATATTTAAGGAATAAAATAACGAACGTCAAAAACAAAAAAAAAAAAAAAAAATTTATTTTTTTTAATTAAAATTAATAAAATAAAATAAAATTAAAAAGGAGTAAGAAACAAAATGGAAATAAATTTTGAACAAGAAATAAAATGAAATGATAATCGATATTCGTTATTAAAAAAAAAATTAATACCAGACGTGTCGTGAAAGAGCGCGCTCAAAGAAATAAAAAAAGAAAGGAAAAAAAAAGGGATAGAATAGGGGTGAGGATTTTCACAATAAAAAAAGAAATTATAATACGATACCTGTTGAATATAAAATATAAGACTAATATAATTAACAGGAGAAGGCCAAATTTCTCAAAAAAAAACAAAAAATATAGACAATTTCGAAGACTCTAAAGAAAAATTTATTAAGAAAAGAGAAAAAATTTTCAAATGTTTAATACATAATAAAAATAAATAAAAAAATAGATATATATATATATGTATATGTGTATATATATATATATATATATAATACATACGTAAGGCTGATAAATTAAAAATTATACCAGTTAACAGAAAGGGGAGACACAAGTTTCACACAGAAATACAATAGCAATGATGATACACCGCAGGACTGCTGAAGGCAGAAAAGAACAGATAAATTTTTTAGCAGGTAAGGGAAATGAAATGATTTACCAATATATAACAGAGAATTAATAGTAAAAAATATGAAAAATATAGGTGGATAACTTTTAGAAAATACTTTTGTCGAAAAAAAAATGAAAAGAAAAAAAAAAGGGTGAATATACAGAAAGTCGGGAGTTAAAAATAATATAAGGGAAACCGAAATGAGCACTTGAACGTGAAATTAGCCTTTAAAATTATAATAGGTGTTTTTTAATTTCCTAAAATAGTCACATTAGATATATATTAAGACAAAGGCGCTAAAGTGTTGTATTAGGTTCTTTTTATGTTTAAAATGAGATAATAGTTTAAGTAAGATATAGACTACGGTATATAATAATAATAATTTAAGAGCTGACCAACAGCGAAAATCATTACAATGAATCATTATCATTTCTTTTCTAACAAATTGATGGAAAATAATATAATGTAAATAACGATAATATAGATATAAAATATAAATATATA